CGTCTAGGTCTCTCCAGAGGTCTCTTCCCCTCAGGCTTCCCAAATAGTGGACCCAACCAACCAGATGGCTTACGGAACCCAAAGGTTCATCACCGAACTAACCAAAGCCCTCCACCGGACCCAGTCTCCTTCAACTCCTATCTCCCATAGATCCCGCCTGATATTATCCTCCCATCTACGTCTAGGTCTCCCCAGCGGTCTCTTCCCCTCAGGCTTCTCAACCAATACCCGGTGCACACCTCTTGTCCCATCCATGCGCGCTACATGCTCAGCCCATCTCATATTCTCGACTTAATCACCCTGACAATATTGGGGGAGGAGTACAGATTTTTAAGCTCGTCGTTGTGCAGTTTTCTCAAGACCCCATCGTCTTCCCTCTTAGGATTACACACGTAAATACTGAAAATAATGCAAAATACATTGCACAAACTCTGAGGGCCATAAAATGAATAATACTGCTCAACCCAAAAGCGAAGAATACCTTATGCGCCGATCTCTCTCTCTTGGTTTTTATCGGGGTACTCAAAGTGCATGTCCAGAGGTTATTACTCCTCCAGGACTACTCAACCTTGCATGAGCGGGGTACATTGTTCCTACAGTGATACTCGTGGATGGCATTAGTGCAAAAGTGGTCTGAGACACAAAAGAGTACACTTTTTCAATCTTTTTTCTTCTCCTTTCCACATACCAGAGTAATTAAATTTAGGAGGATGAGATTACGTCCGCCATTTCATTGATCTCTATAAGTTAATCATTTTATACCATTTCTGCTCTCTGTGAATGGATTTTCGTTTAATTTCAATTTCTGGGAACTTACGAATTGTAATTTTGAAGCTGAGCTTACAGTTTGCTTTGCAGGACTCTTTGAATGGTTATGCATATACCTTGGTATGTTTTACTAAAACCTGAAAGTCGCTGAGATAAATCTGAAGCCACTGGGACTTCACAGCAAATCCTGGTCCAGTGTTTGTTCGCCGTTGTCCATAAGCCCATTTCTAGAAAAAAAAATGTCTTCACAAGTTTGCAGAAAACTCAGATACCATAACATTAATTGAAAGATGGTATTTCTTGATCCTAATACTAACAGAATCTTTCCAAAAGTAGCATCCGGCATGCGGATAATGTTGCACGTAAAAGACGTTTTCTGGCCACGAAGTTTTGTCAGTGCCTTCAAATACGTGACAATGGCAGAAAAATATTCTACTTGGCTTATTTGTACATTCCGTTTTTCAATTTCTTAAGTCCCATCCAACAAGGGCATAAAACTTCCTTTACTAGAAATACAAGCACAGAATTTTAAAGAAATTTAGAAAACTGTAAGTCAGTGGGAGATTAATCTGATGTAAGACATTTTGGGTGGTCAGATGGGGTGAGACTTCCAACCAACATCCGTCAGCGCGTCACAAATGGCACACTCGCACTGGAGAACGTGCAACGCGCCTCTGACCAAGGCACGTACAGCTGCACTGCCCGGAACAAGCAGAACTACACGGCACAGCGGTCAGTTGACGTCCGCGTACTTGGTGAGTATTAACAAAAAATTCATTGCTGTAAGAATAATTTTTTGCGATTAAATTAGTGATTAACTGTAAATAACAACAGTTGTGATTCATGTCATTTGTAAAAATGTTTACGTATGTTATCAAACGCTTTAAAGATGACGTGCTTTTAAAACTCAACCACGTCCATTTCTGTGCATATTTTAGGTTGATAATCAAACTAAGTATTGCATTATACTTTCCAAAAAATAGGTGGTATTTTATGTTATAGAAACTTTATTTGTAGTTCTTATGGAAGTGAACTTGTTTAGTATTTGTAACTCTCTCAAATACAGGCACAAAATATTTGGAGTAAGATATTCAAAATTGGTGGCATGGCACTCCAATGAAATGTTGATTTTCTGGGTGGAATTAATTTTCCAAAAAAACAGGCATCACACAAATTTTATGCAAATGCCATAATATATTTGTCATAATTATTGTAAATTTAATCAGAGTAAGTGAATGTTGTTTCGTTTCATTTGCCATATTTTTAAAGAGGTCAAATTGAAAATTTACAAAATAGTGTGGACAGCCACAATTTATATTTTGTTACTGTTTTAAGCCACTCTCTGTCATGTCAGATTTGACGTAAATATCGTAGTGCGTCTTAAAATTAACCTCTTCCATTCTGAGTTATATTTGTTAGAACCTTGAAGACGTGTTTTTTGATTTTCGTTCACATATTTCTGCAGAGACTCACCTCACAAGACCTCAGCTCAGGGGAACGGCGAATGGATGTTACTGGGTCACCTCTAACGCCAAACTTACGATTAGTTCAAACCTGAAACTTGTAGTAGAAAGGGCAACTGTTTCTTTTCTCTCGTAAGTGATAGCATCCCCTTGAATAATACATACAGACAACATTTATTTTTCTGTTTCATGAATAAAAGAAACTATTCTGCGAAGTGTTGTCAGAACTCCGACTACTTACAGGATGACTCAGACAGTCGCAGACGCTTTCGTTCCTCATGTTATTCAATCCCGTCTGAAACAAGGCTTGACCCAGAGAGATAAATTCTCAATTCCTCACCAGTCTTGACTAATGACTTATACGAAAGCTGTTCTTAACATTCACACTCACGGTGTTTTAGGACATTAGTGCGTATAATGGCCGGGAGGCGATAAAAGTGGCTACAGCAATGATAATCAAAATGCGCTCTGCTGTGTTGCAATTGTTGGTCCGAAAGTCGATTACCGTGTCTGCTGCCATCTGTTGTTTAATTCAGATTACTACGTAGTCGCGCGTACTAGAACTGTTATGTTGGCTACAGTGGAAAATATCATTCTTTATTTTTCTTATACTTAAAATAATAAATGAAATGAGAGACAGCTCAGTTTAGAAAATTGTAACTTATTATAATAGCATCGACCTACGGCATTGTTGAAACTCATTGTTTAGACATGAATTAATTTGGCTTCAGACACCCAAATCCTGTTCTTATTTCAAATTCTTCAGTGTAATTTTGTGAGATAGTAGATAACTTTTTTTTTTACAGGCTGGTAAACCATGTAGGCCTTCTAAACAGCAAGTTGTTGAATGGAACGTTCCTTTATATGCTTGAAAAATAAACCAATCTTTCTTGTACGATCGTATATTCAATGTATGGAACGTGGAAATCTCTTGCCAATAATCTGCACAAGGGCTGTATCGACTTAATCTTTTCACCGAATTTTAGCTCATTCTCAACCGATGTCAATGCGTTCGCCCTCCAAAATTTCTTTTTGCATTGATTGATGTATTTCGGGATGGAATATCGGAACTGTTCCGCCACCTCAATTCGTTAGAGCGTAACTGTAATGATGGAAAAGACTTCTCGTGTTATCTGAATCTCGCATTTTAGATGGTTTTATTCCCAAAAAAAAATCTCATCTCCTCGGTTTTATAAAATGTTGTTGTACAGTCACGAAAGTACTTCATCTAGATAAGACATTCTGTAATACCCGTATTAGTACCAACTTAATAACAATTGTTAGTTGTCATGTGACAGAAATTTAAATATTCTTCGCCAGAGAATGTACATTTTATTTTATGGAATCCGAGATGAAAAAAAAATATAAGAGTTATGTTTTACGTACAAAAATATCGCCAAATAGTTTTTAAAAAACAAACTTGAATAGAAAAAGCCATCTGGAAAACCTATTTGTTGATGATTTGATGAGGACGTGAACTGGATTCATCTAGCACGAGATAAAGACCAATGGCGGTCTATTATGAAAACGGGTCCCGTAAACTGCGAGGAATTTCTTTAAAACCTGATATGCTCTTACCTTATCCCGGACTTTGTTAATAATATAATGAGCTATATCCGTCACGTTTACGTGTGTACTGATGTTGGGATAGTTTTCATGATAACGCTGCTAAGCGGTTTATTATTGCCGTATGGGATAATGATTATAGGATTATATGTGTCTGTTATACCGTTGCCATGGTAATCCTGTTCACGTATTGTCGACTTTGCGATTTTGCGTAATTGGAAGTTTACCAGTTACTCTGGAGGCCAAAATGGAAACCTATAGGCATTTAACGTTTTCAATTTTAATGTTATCTTCGAGAAAATGACAAGTTGATTAATATTTGTATAAATAAATTGAAAGAAGAAAATCTATAATAACAGAGATTGACATATTTTCTTTGTATGTTTTCTATAGTCGACATTCACATTTCAGAAACTTTCGCACGTGAATTGCATCTCGCAGAAATTTGCGTCCGCCCGCACACCTGCAGAACTGCGATACTAGGCCGAACTGTTATTTTATTATACCAGAAGATGTCTGACTGGTGGTGAACAGTTTACCGGACTGATCTCGTGAAGAATTTCTCACGTTCTGTTACCTTGTGTGTCTGATCGCGTTATAGTTTATTTATCGGAGTTAAACGAATAGCAAACATTTTCTTTTCTTCAGATTATTATCAACGTTTCTCAACCTATGGTACGCGAGCCAATGTTGAGTGGTACGCGAACTAAGTAAGAAAATCAAAATATAATATTAACATAAATAAGTTTTCCCTGGTCGCATTTGGTTAGTGGTAAATTTAATGTTTGAAATTAAAATTAGTGGTACGCCTGCGAAAAAGGGGTGAGAACCCCTGCATTACATTATATAATGACGTGCTAATGCTAACAGTGTCACTATGAGAGATGAATAACTGCAAAATGAATTTTGTGTTTTGCCCTTTGAACTTTGAAAGTTGGAATTATAACTTGAGTAAATTTAATTCAGCATTTGATGGCAAAATGGCGGATATTCGGTACCACAAACGTTTCTGTCGTTCGCCGTGGGGCAAATGGAAACAGAGAGATGAGATTACGACGATAAAACAATGAAACAAAACTTTAAACCCGTATCCTTATTAATCAGTGCCGTCAGCTAGACCACAGTCCCACTATATCTGATTTAGAGGTTACACAGTGTTTAGTGGCAAAAAGCCTCTCTTACAGGCGTAAAAACTCGCTTTGCGAAGTGTTGAAACAAAGGATATAGCACGTAATTATCGAGAATACAAAATTATCTGTTTCATTACTTGAATGTCGTATCTAATTTGCACTAATATCTGTTTACCCATGTAAATTATTTACTTTACTGATCTGTTACGCTTTGTTGTTACAGGTTTTCCAAGCGTTTGAATATTTGTTTTCGGAATTGGAACTTAAAGACAATTTGCTACCTTAAGATAAAGCGGGGTTTTTTTGTGGGCGTACTTTCTAATATTTATGAAAACGTTTTATCTAAACTGATTCGTTAAATACTTGACGAATTTTCCCTTAACTATTTAAAAAAAATTGAGTTCTTCCATATTTTATTTTATCAGTGTAACACACTTGCTAGGATAATTATAGACTAGGCCTAATCCTCAATTATGAATAAATGGATTGAAATTAATATAATTATACTTACCCGAGAGTAATGGCGGCCGACGAGTGGAATACTCCTCTAGATTAAATCCCGAAGTTAGAATACTGGAAGGTTTCCACCCCCACTAGTTCACCTTCATAGAATTCTGTTTCTACTATCATCCATTTCATCAGTGCAGAGTAGCAACTGAATTCGTAAATGAGTGTTTCGTGCTTCTAAAATTATTCCTCTGATCAGCGACCTGCTTTACACTCCAACAAACTCCGAATTTCGCAAGCCCCCACTCGTTCTCTGGTTACCGGTAACGTGTTTTATTGGAACATACGGGCTTCAGTTTCCGATAGTTTCTTCATTCAGTTTCGTGTTGTGGCTGCATCTACAAGTTTCTGTCAGAATACGTGAACCTAGAATATTCCGATCAACCAATATGGAGCCCTGTCTTCGCTCAGAGACAGGCAAAAAGCATCAGATAGTAGCTCAGAATGACGAATAATAGAGGCCTTCCTTGTGCATTAAGCAAAATAGGTCACTTTTAAAGGCTCGTTTCCACCTCGGATCTGTTGACAACCTTTCAACTGAACGACGTGGTGATGTGGTTTGTGAACCTGTTTTATATTCCAGAGGTTGGCTATTCTGATCTCAACTGAGAGACCATAATTTCTTCTGAAGTTTTACATGTTTTTCGTCAGTCTGTACATGAAAACTCACGGAGAATGTTAGTGTAGCGATAATGCTGTAGGCTTATATTGTCCTTTTCGAATGCCTGACGGGTTAAGGTTTGTGCTGATTGTGATTTTTTTCTCATCCTCTGTAACCGAATTCCACAATAATACCTTGATATTTGCCATGTCCGCCTCCTTGATATCACATCCAACATTCCATTCACAATTATTGGCACCATTGCATTTTCTAAAAATTACCTTCATCTTTTCGTAGTGACTTCCTTCGAAATTCCTTCCAATTCGATGTTTATAACAATCAGCCCAGACCTGTTTTCATGTCAGATTAATTCACCATAAAATGACTGAATAACAATGGAGTCTTCACTTCGTTTGTTCATCCTATGGTTAAGACAAGGACGTAAATAATTTGCCTAATTCACGTCAGAGGCGCCCTGTCACAGTAGCTTGTAACCATCTTGCAGTAACAATAATAACATCGCTTCCGAGGCTTAAAAAATGCGTATCATTCATTGTAGCGAAATATACTCTTTTCCCCCACTTTGAGTATCCCTGGTTTTTTGGAAACAATGTATTCCGCAAACAATTTGGTTTGAATTATAAATTAAAATGATTGTTATAACATCCACTTAGGTGTTAAAAATTCGTAGCACGACTTTCTTCGGAAGGGAAATAAAGTCGGCGGTGGTCCTGTGTCGTAGATTTACGGCGTGTAAAAGAACCTTACGAGCATGGACGAGATGTTTCGTAAGTAGAATTCAGCGGCCATGTTTCTCACACATGTCTCTTCAGAATTGTTACCAGATGGCTCTAGCAGACAGATCAGGATTGAGTAGAAATTGTATGGAGGCAGCAGGCTTGCCAACTGCTGCTGTCTGCCACGTTTACAAACGCAGACTACACTATACCTTGAATCGGCGTTATGCAATAAAAGCCCTTTGTGTTCATAACATGTTTATCTCATAAATATCTGACATTTTTATGATACACTTACAAATCTGTGAATATTTAATGGTACAGTTGCAGTTCCAGTTGACTGATGAAATTAGGTGCTGTTGCTTGGACAACAAAATAAATTTAATCTTAAATCTGTTATGAAGAGAAATTTTTTTTTCCTTACACGGTTGGATTTCAATCTGAAATATGCATAGAAATTATAACTATACTAACGCGAAGGTTACGAAACTATGTAAGTCATAAGAGAAGTGAATTCATAATCAATATTTTTTATGAAAATAGATAATATCAATCCCACTACAATATGTTTAACTCAGCATTATTTCTCATTGGGCCCAAATTGCAATATTTATATAATGATTCAAATTTTGTGTCCAAATATATGTTAAAGTTAATAACCTTACTTTCTTTGATTGATGTGCTGCAGTGTTTTATTTAGCATGACATTAAGGACAGGTTCAGGTAACTTTTGATGTTTAATTAATTTATAATTATTGTATTAAACATTTTATTTAAGAAAGGAGTGTGTGTTTAATAGTTGAGTTTGAAAAAGTTATATATTTTTTAGAATATTTTTAACATTTCATAAACAACACAGTTGGCTATACCAGTAGATATCTTTGATGAAGAAACAGGACATTGAGACTTGACATTTTGTTGCTTTCAGGTAGAAAATTTTTGATGTTTGTCACTCATTGATTATCTGTCTTTACCAGAATAAACTATGTAGCCTCAGTGACAACAAAAAAATTAAATAGATTTGTATAAGAACACAACAACATTTGTATTAACACAAACATTATTTCCAGTTTTATGCTGAGACGAACTTCATTTTCGTGATGAATGTTTACATACAGTGGGTATTTATTATCATTAAGATTATTAGCATGATACTAATATTTTCCACGCTCATAAGTCATCACATAATTAAATCACAGAACTAAGTCAGGATGTCTTATCACCTTTTCCTGTTCTATCCTTACCCCAACATAATGACCCTCCACAGTAACATGAAATTAAGGCCGTGAGTAACAGAAAGTAATCAGTAATTCCACTGTGGGTGAAACAAAGTTTTTCCTATCCTCAATAATCACATCAATATTTTAATTCTATCTTTCAGTGCCACCCAAAATCACGCCTTTCAGTTTTGCACGCGACTTAAACGTAGGCGACAGAACAAGTATACAGTGCGTGGTGGTGACAGGGGACTTACCCCTCAGCTTCGTATGGCTCAAAGACCACTACAGCAGTCTCAGTCCAACAACATCAACAAGCATTTCCACAAGTAGCACAGGCACCACAACCAGTACGGACATTACCACCAGACAGTACGATGACTTCACCAGTACGCTAAGCATAGGGAGCATCACGCGGGCACACAGTGGCAATTACACTTGCCGGGTGAGCAACGCCGCAGCCACCATCACACACACAGCACAACTCCGAGTGAACGGTAACACACGTCTCAACACGGCCTGCCTGCCTGCCTACCTTTTTTTTTTTTCTTGTCTGCCTGCCTGCCCTCCCCTCGCCCTTTGACTCCTCATTTAAAATCTGCTTGTCCCACCCGCGGTGTGTTTCTCTATAAATGGGTGTGCGTGGGTGAAAGCGTGAATGACTGGATGCAAGGTGATGGATTTCCTGGCTTAAAATTCTTCTGAGTCTCATTTCCTTTAATGATGTTGACAAGAGGGTAAGATCCATTCATTCATTTGGGTAAATTGCTTCAAAATGATTGTTAAATAGAATTGTCCTTTGATTCGACACTCGCTTCCTACGCACCTACCATCAAATAAACTGCCAAGTGCGTAGCGTTCGAATTATTGAAGAGTTTTGTCTGTGCTAGCAGATGCAGGAACACAAAACAAGTTTTTGCGACAGTTTTATTTTTATGGAAACTGCAATCACACAGTAAAAATAAAAGAAATGTCGGTAACCCTGTGTTTCTAAGTCGGCTAGAAACCACATCGAACCAATACACTTTTTTTTAATTGAGGTGGTTATCTTCATACATTTTACTTTTGTGCCGATAACTACAGTTCAATAATTTTAACCACATTTCTGACATATCAAGTACTACATGGAAACACAGTATAAAACAGTACAGATGTTCACCTCTTGGTAACACGCCTTAACAACGCAGAAAGAATCCTGTATTGTAACAAAATGCTTGCTTGTCATACATTTCCTGTGTGATGGAAATTTCAGTGACCCTAAATATAGTCAGTCTAATAAAGTGTCCTCAGTTGATTTTTTTAAGTAATCTGCACACAATTTCTATGAATCATCGATATCTACTTACACGTCCACATGATATTACTACCCAAAAGACGAACGTCAACATCTTTACTGCCGCGAGAACCTTGAATCTTACAGGGATCCTGTTTTATTAAACTTGTGCTTACAGATGAGAAAGGCCATGTCACAGCTGTTTTAAAAATAGTAACCTTAGGCACCTAATTATTGCTGCAGCTTAGGTTCTTTTATTCTTCAACATTTCGTGCATATGTTTTTCCTTTATCTTCTACACTGCAGTGTCGTTTAATTGAAAACTACGTTCATATAAATACAACAGCAGCTTCATAGACAAAAACTTGTACGTGTACATGCGCACACATAGAGGTACACACAATTACATCATATCACATATTTTAACCCTTCAAAGCTTTTGAACTAGTTTAAATATATTTCATCACCTCATTTTTTCCTGAAATTACATTCTGACCTCGAATATCATTCATCTGTAATCAGTTACACTAATCATATTAGGTTAGTCAATGTTATTTCTTGTCCTCAGAGCACACCGCAGGGATTATAATGTTACATTTCCAATAAGTGCATTTTTTTCGATGATTGTTTTCTTCGTTGTATCGTCAACAGCCATTTTTGTAACATTCTGTTTTTGATGCAGTTCCGGGATTTCTGTTGATTTTTCATATTCCAGTCCCTCCAAGGATCTCTCCCTTTTATTTTGAGGACGGTGTGACAGAGGGCATGCGAACGCAGATTATGTGTACTGCAAGCCAAGGAGATCGGCCCTTTAACATCACATGGCGTAAAGATTTGCAGCCCTTGGGCCATGAAAATGGCAGCGATGCTCCCTGGATTAACGTTAGCGACTATGCGCCATTTTCTAGCATTCTGACCATAAATACTGTAACATCTAGTCATAGTGGCAACTACACTTGTGTGGTCACTAACAAGGCTGGCTCCGCTGAATACACAGCGCAACTGTCCGTCACTGGTAACGTATTGTATCGTCTAGTGTATCGGCAGCGTAGTCAGCATCAGTGTTAAATGCAATTAATTTACCACTGTCACCCTGCACGCTATCTTCAAGAACCTTTGTGTGTCGCGTGTCCTTATAGACATTCAATTCAGAATATTTTCAAATGACAATAATATCTGATTTTAGTTCCATATATTGACAAGTATAAAATTATAATCCATACTAAGTAGTACCAAGAACTGGAAAAGAAATCTGATTATCATCGCATTAAATTATAAATTTTATATTAATTAATTCCTTTGCTGCTGACTTGAAGGTTTCTTAAACTTTGCAATGAGTAGCGATAAAATAACATGAAAAGAAAGAGTTAACGCTGAAAAACAGGTTTTGATCGTGGCTTTGCTTGTACAAAACAAAGGTGTTCAGGAACACACGCTGATAATATTATTAAATTTGAAATACTCATAGTACATCGTGGTCTTTGAAAATTTTCACACAAAGGTCCTTGACCTGCACTGAAGAAGAATCACAGCTTTGGCATGGCAGCATCCTTGAAAATAGTTTAGTTCCTTCTGATTGAATCTTTGTTCCCATTGCATGTTTAATAGTGATTTTTCCTTTGAGTGTAGTTATCACCATCTGCATCTAACGCGTAACACTGATTATATTATTACATACAAATATATATATATATATATATTCAATAAGTCATTAGTGATATCAACTATGCACACATCATAAGATTCATCGCCATAATAACTGAAGTCTACCTCTGGATTCTGTCCTGAATAAGCTCAGCTGATCCCAGATGACACAACAGAATTGCACTTGATGAAGATCCTCCTGCATAAATTCATAATACCCAAAGCATTTTCTGTCCATAAGATTTTACAATAGAAATTCCCACATTAATGATTTCGTATAAACAACCATTTGTGATGTCAGGATTGTTTACCATATCTGAAGATGCTGCGTACACCTGGGTGAAATCCCGAAACAATTTTTTTATATAAGTACATCATTTTTTCCATGTCATTCATTGTTTCGACCGTGCTTCATATTCATCTGTCACCACTCCTAAGACGCAAGAAAATCCTGACCAGCTGGCGCAATTATCACCGTAATATGTAGTTTGTTTGTGTGGAACATCAGAATTTTTACCAAGAATTATACACTTTACATATTTTATCTAAATAAGGAGTTTTGCTCTGTAATTAAATTTTGTGTGTCACATCTTAAACCAACAGTCAAATGCCTTAATTCTGCTACAGTTTTGTGAACTATAATTGCAGAAAATTTAGAGATCTTTTTCGTATCTTCAGACCTCATCATCATCATTTACGCATTCATACCTTAAAATTAATTTCAGTTCTTCTATTCCAATAGGTACTTCTAGTCCTTCATCGTAATCCTAAATTCGTGCTTTTTTTTCAATTTCCGTCAGTGGTTGAAAGTATGGCACCAATTATTTTAATTAAATACTGTGAAGAACTTTTGGCACATTTGCACAGGTTACTTTCTGTTTATATAATGGTACACTTAGAAGCATAGCAAAAGTAATGATCCAGCATATTTATAAATATCAGTCTGAAAATATAAGCTGCCTATGTAATTTAATTAGCAATAAGTTCAGTTAAAATATAATAAAAGATGTTTTCCATTAAAGAGTTTCTCGGTATTGACATAATTTTAAAAATGAAGGTTAAAAGTTTTGATATGTGTCATAAGAGCGGTCAAGACTCTTCACGTCTGATCTTGTAAGTGAACAGAATTTGAATTAATAATGAAACAAAAATTATGTTGGAAATTACCAATATTTAAAATGGCTGGGGGGAACTTTTCTGTTGGATCTGGATCTGTGGATCACATATCTACTGGATCCATAACAAAAAATAATGGAAGGATATTCATTTTATCAAACTTGTAATCAACTTTTCCATATTCTAAGCTATGCTTGAAATTGTACGAAGTGAATTAGTGAGGGAATTGTATAAAGAAATATACCCAAGCCTGGCAGAATTTCAGATATAGATAAGTGGCATTTTCTGTGTCATTAACGTCAAGATATTATTAATATCTTTGTTTTGTACTTTATCCATAATCGGTTGTATTTTGTTGTTATTATTGTCATCATCATCACCACTAACATCATCATCATCATCATTATCATCAAATCAGCCACTGTCTTCAGGTATCACAAAGGAGAGGGGCACCTGTTCTGTTCGATCCAGTAGACCTGTGATCGACAGCAGCTCAGTCTACCAGACCCTTTTTATTCCTAAAGAAAATTGAAAATCCACGCTCAAAGGGCTGGTGGTAATGGACTGATCATGGATACAGTCTAAAACAATTAATTTAGCAATATTTTCATATTTATGACATACATTTAATGTCAACTTATTACTATATGAAGTTCTGTCAGTCGTGTTTATATTTATTTAAAGAATAAATATGAGAAATTAAGTCATTCACATGTAATAAAGCTACCTGAGATATTATTTATTGGGTATAAATTATTTCTGCTCATATAATTATGAAATAGTTATGTTAAATTAACATTATGCAAAAAAAAATGGTCAGAGTAGAAACTCAGTAAGTTAATGGCTTAATTTTAACTGGCATCCTAGATTTGTTATGAGTCTTGGTGTTCCGTTACACTATTCACAGCATGTGATGCACTTTCTGTTTATAAGATTTATGCAAATGTGACACATGAAACTAAAGCATAATTATAAGAAGATATGTGCTATAAATGTGCCTATTATTGTACACCGCAGAAGAAAGAGGAACATAAAACATCATGGTGTTAAATTTGTATCATTCAAACACAGCAATCTTGTGCGATATCGAGTTCTTCCCGCAGTTCCATGTAATTCTACCACTTATAAACCACCGAGATGGAAAATAACCTATTTTTCACTGTGTTAAATCAGAAACATTCAAGTCATTGCCTTGCAGACAATTTGTAAGTTTTTGAAAGAATGATGATTCAATTTAATTCAATTCAATTCAATAATAATAATATCCTATATAGTTTTCAAATATGGGACTAAATTATGTGAGGATTTAAAATCGTTCAGCATCACTAACAGTCTAGTTAAAAATATTAATATATTTAAGAAATTTATTATAAATTATGTTGTATTAAAATCATTATCATAATTAATATTAAAACTAATGGGATCTGCTGCTCTTTGAAAAATAGTTATAAATAAAGTGAAACTTGCTGTATTCTAAAGTACAAAGTATTACATTAGGCAAAATATGTATGTGTTCAACAAACTCGTTTTTATATTGATAAGTAAATACTAAATATACGTATGTGTTCTCTTTGATTTTTACACTGTGATGCTACTGGCTTTGTTCCTAGTGCCTCCACGTTGGTTGGTCGAGCCAACTGACCACAGTGTGGTACAAGGCAACCCAGTGTCTCTTCACTGTCAAGTGGATGGCTTCCCTAAACCCACAGTAACTTGGAAACAAGCAGTGGGTGTGTATTCCTTTCAGAGAATGCTTTGGATTCAACTCCATGGATTCAGATATTTATAAGAAACTCCAGTGTTTATAGGCAAACTCTCTCTTTTTTTTTTCCAGAAAAGTATCGAAGAATTTTATTTAATACACATGGCTAATTTCTGTTCCAACTTTTATCTAACTGATGTTAAAATAGATTATATGTGTTTTCTAGGAGGATATAATATAATTTTTAAATAATTTGTAGATAGTTTTGCCCTGTAAAATCATAAGCTGTGAGGTCACAGGAAATGTCTGTAATTTTTCACGTTCAAAAGTATGAAGACAGCTGGCTTAAAACTTGTACTTATTTTAGGCACTGAGCCTGGAGAATATCGAGATCTGAGTTATCATAATCAACGAATCCACAGCTTGGAAAATGGTTCCCTTGTCATCTCAAAGGCTGCCCAAGAACATGAAGGCTATTATTTGTGTCAGGCTGGAAATGGAATTGGGCCAGGTCTCAGTAAAGTGATTCTGTTAACAGTACATGGTAAGTCAGTGATATATTGGTAAATAAGCGTGTACACGTTGAAATACCGCATGCTTCCATCAAATAATATAGTTTCTATTTAAATATTTAGCGGGACCACGGTTCAAAGTACGATCACGACAAGAAAGGGCGCGTAAAGGAGAGACAGTACATCTACGATGTGAAGCAGATGGTGATCAACCTATGGACGTTACATGGAAGGCAAAAGGCAGTCCCATTGAATCTGACTATGAGATGAGGTGTGTAGCTTTCCTGTTTCATTAATATGAATGTCGTCGTCATCCCAAGAACTGACAGGTTTTATTTTGTATTATTTTTTTTTAAGTTCTTCAGGAAAGTTGTAGTTTAAATAATTCAAAATGAATTCCTCTCCACTATCAAAGAAATTTGTGGTGTAGTAGTTAAAAATTTTCACTTTTACTTTAGGAAGTACGTATTTTGAATCGGCAGGGATTGGCTAGCATGAAGCTTAGTTTCCATTACATTTTGCTTGAAAGAGTTTAATTAAACCAGATGTATGTGATTACAAGCGGAATTATAAATGGAAATTGGGATAATTCTTGTAATTATTACGGACATGCCTATTTTCCAGGTACACAGTGAAGACGACGTCACTGTCCCATGGTTCTCTGTCAAAGTTAACCATAATGGATGTTTTACCTGTAGATCGCGGCGACTTCATTTGCATTGCTAGCAATCTATATGGCCAGGATCGAGCAACAATACAACTCATTGTTCAAGGTATCCGAATTCTTTCCCATTATTGATATATATATATATGAAAACTGTGTATCAAAACTAAAGGGTTAAATTTTAAATTTTCATCATGACTTGCGGAATACCAGAATACCTGTACACGATGTTATAATTCCAAAATTTAATATGGAAACTAGTAAATCACACACTTGCATACTTTCAACAGATTAAAAATATTCAAAAACAGAATAATTTTATTTTAAGCATTTATGGCAATATTCTGTTGTAATTGTTATAATTAATCATTCATTATATAAAATCCATTCTGTGTTAGTATTCTCTGTAACTTTTATTCCAATTGATCATAAATAATAACAATACTGAATTTAACTTGATATAAATAGAGCCACCCAATTTCCCGCGCAACCTACACGTAGCAGAACAGACAGGTCGTTCGGTACTACTGTCCTGGTCACCTGGAGCAGAAAGTGATTCTCCTGTTACATCATACATTCTGCAGTATAAGGAGGCATCAGATGTTTGGCATGAACACAACCCACAACTCTCGGTGGCTGGGGACCGCAGTGTGGTGCTTGTTGCGGGACTTCATCCTGCCACAACCTACCACTTCAGGCTGTACGCTGAGAATGCTTTGGGAACAAGTTCCCCCAGTGATACCTTGCACGTGCGTAGCTAAGAATGTGTTTTATAGGTATCTAATTATGCTGAATTAACTACAGAGGCTATTAGCATGGAATCAGATGAAACGACTGTTACATACGACGAATTGGTGAGGATGGGTGAAGAATCAATTGTGGTCAGTTTCAAATAAGTGTTTGGAAGGCCTTAGAAAAACCACAGCAAATTTCAGAATACTTGGGTATTCTAGCCAAGATTCAAGCTGGGTATCTCATGAATACAAGTGAATCGCATTACTGCTGTGTCAACTTTATGGTGAGTTACCTGAAATACACTTTTCTGTTATATTTAATACACTGGTTATGTCAATGAAAACAACCTGAAAAAAACAACTAAACTCATTATTAAGAAGAAATAAATATTATTAAGAGCATATAAATATATATTTATTTATTTATTTAGAAATTTTCAATTCAGAACTATGAATATGGCACGCTGCTCTTTCACAAGACTCGAGTAGCTACAGCCGAGCCGCGAATCGCAGAGTTTCACGGAAGGATCACATTGTGAGAGAAGCCCAGTGCCATTTTATCCAATAAACATCTTCTTATTGCAGTTTTCTGGGCGTACACGATGATGATGATATATTTTCAGGTTATGACAGAAAGTGAGATACCGGGTGGGCCACCACGCCAGGTATCTGTGGAAGCAGCCAGTCCACAGGAACTCCATGTTACATGGCAACCGCCTGAACAACAACTTTGGAATGGAGAACTTCTTGGTTACAAGATAGGATTCAGAAAAATTGGGTATAGATTTCAGTTTAATTATAGTTGCATCGTCACCATAGGTTGTTCAGTTTTTCCATCAAACACAACTCATTACAGCTACCACAGAGCCATCTTAAGCATAACTAATTCAAGTTAAAGAAGCAAAGTCTTAATCAAACTTTACTCAATTGTAAAGCACGTATAAAGGAAATATTTAGAATAAAGTAAATATATAAACTTCCTTTCCGTATAGACGTATTTACGTCTAATTCTCCAGAACCGTGGTTCCACTGTCACTTTTAAACACAATATAATATTTCAAGTTCTATATAAATCTTCTTTGAACACCAACCTAGTAATTTTGCCTTTCTTTGTCATCATATATGCTGCAGATATAAATTAATGCAACAGATGTTAATCAAATGACAAAATTATTTCTGGTTGTACTTTTCAGCATTTTTTTAGCGCTTTGGTAGCTTACCTGCTAAGCATCACTCATATCCACTCACTTTTCTTCTTCTATGGCTCTCCGGTCCACGGCCTCCTCAATTCTCCTCTTCCATTTGGTCCTCTGTTAGGTCCGCCTGTCCGAGGCTTTGATCGAGGTTTTGAAACGTCTTCCTTTTTACGGTGCAAGGTTGTTAGCCTTGCGACCAACCCCCAACCTGGAGGACCAGGGTACCTGTCTTAGTCTGACCTCTGCCCCTCGACCAATCTGACTAGGGAGGCCCTACCAGTAGCTATGCTACCGCCAGCGTAGCTCTTGTGATCAATCCACTCGCTCTGCCTACCAGTAAATTATAGTTGGTAATGCCCATGTACTGAAACAGGCCAATAAGCTGGTACATCGTCATGGTGAAGCAGCCAGTTTACGGAGTCTCAAACATAAGGCTATTTATTGCAGATATTAAAGAATGTCTCTATATATTGTCTTCTGTATGAGATTTTTAGGTATAAAATACTTGAATATGCCACAGGAGAAATTAATGATTCTTTCAACGTATTATTTGTTCTTTTACAGTGCTGTTTTATGACCTCTTGTACATGAGCGACGTCTTCGCACATTGAAGGTTCATGCAAGGGCTGTTGAAAAAATTATTAAGCTTTTATTCCTTACAACATACAACCTTCATGTTAGTGAGGCAACTGCGTGAAGTAAGAGAGACATCTTGCGATATGAGGAAACCTGAAGTGAATAACTCAAATTGTATAAATATCTGATGTGATTTCAGGATGCTGAGTAGATTATCGTCCTGACCAGACCGTAGTCCTATTCCATACTGCCACGTGTTTTGTGTTTACAGACCTGGTCCTGAAGATGAAGGACCATATAACTTTACACGAATCGGTGCAGGAATAATTGACAATGAAGTTCGTCTCTCTGGACTGGAGAAGTTTACCAAATATAGTGTGACGGTTCAGGCCTTCAATAGTAGAGGTGATGGACCAGCTTCTGATGCAGTGATTATACAAACCTTGGAGGATGGTGAGAAAGTCATATCATAATGTGGAACAAATAAATTATTTATTTATTAACAGGTACGGATATTTCTGAGCAACATGTTTTGGTCTAAAATACAATCTTCAGGCTCATATATTACAGTACATTGAAAATTGTGAAAGAGAGGTTATTACATGATTATGGGTGTGTCAAAGTTATATAATAACTTCTGGGAGCGAGGTCCGGGCTGTAGGGTGAATGATTAAACACCTCCCAGCTGAACTCCTGCAGGAGACTTGCTGTCCGTCGAGCAGTGTGCGGCCTAGCGTTATCACTGACCGCACTTCACAGTCGGCGGGAGCTGGAATAAGAACCTCCATCTTCAACAGCTGCAACGATGCTACTGTGAGAACGCGGGAAGTGCCGTTAGTGCATGCGCCATGCTACGTCATTGCTCTATCACGTACGCACAGTCGCTTCGCGCAATATAAGGTTTGCTAGCTGTGGGACGAGTGGGAAACTTACTTTTGGGACGCGCCTCGTATGTACACACTGTACAACAGAAACCGAGCACTTGAACTTCAACGAAAAATACAATTCCTCCTTTGTTGGTATAACCTGTGCCCTTAATCTTGCACACCGTGTTTCCAGTGCCCAGTGCACCACCGCAAGACGTGATCTGTACGCCCGTGTCAGCACATGATCTGCAAGTTAGCTGGCTTCCCCCTGATCGTGCCCACCTCCACGGCATTGTGCAGGGCTACAGGCTGTTCTTTGAGCCAGTGGAGGAACGGTATGGTGGGTAATTGATACCAATAATGTTGTACCAGATGCTCAGACTGTATTACCCCAGTGCCAGCAATCCCGTGTTTTATTCATCATTGATTAGTTTTTAAGATGTATCTGCATCTTTTAGGAAGATGTAATATTTGTAATATTTAAATGGTCGTTTACGTGTGAATGTAAGGCTGGTTTACATCCATCCATCTGTCTGCACGGAATGAAACTGATTTTATCATCACAATTTTTTTTTTTTTTTATTATTTGTTTAATTTTCCTTGAATTTCTTGTTATTTTCTGGATTCTCACATTTTGGTTCAAATTTGTGTTGTTTTCTTTATATTACATTAGTGTTACCATTAAGTGAGTATATGTGGGAGGCTGCGTCCTCTGTCTTAAGCAAGTGGTTGTAACCAACACTTCACTGTAGTGGGATCTGAGGTTCTCAAGGCTGTGAGTATGAAGATGGTTGTCTTCCGGGTTGTAGCACCCTATAATCTGGAAGAAGTTTACCAACATTTGAGAGATCTTGTTGAGACCCTGATGATGGAGGCAACAAGAACCTCTGAAATTTTGGTAAACTTCTACCAGACTACACAGAAGACAACTATCTTCTTAACAGTTTACTGTAATTATTACGCTGAACAGTAGTTTTAAGTGTCTTTCGTGGATAAAAGTTATCGATGTAAGGAAATACGTAGAAGAACTTTCTATTTTGGTTTATAAAATGTGTGCTAATTGTAGGTTATGTTCCTCAAGACAGTTATTCCACTGAACATTAAAATATTTGTCGGAAAGTACTGTGTGTAACATATAATTAAATTGTATTTTGAACAGAGTTGGGAATTCGAGAAAACAGGGCAATAGCCGCAACTACTACAGTTTTGCATGGACTGAAACCATTCACAAACTACAGTATTCAGCTTCTGGCCTACACACGAGCAGGAGATGGTGTTATTAGCCCAGTTACGTTTTGCACCACTGAGGAAACAGGTAATTCCTGAATGTTTGTACATAAACTTTGTAAGTTGAAAGCGACATACGTTTCCTGTTGGTCAAATGGGACTATATTGTTCTGCTACATCACAATATTCTTAAAAGTATTATATATTCATAAGAATAGTAATTTGTGGGTCTAAAATGCTTCTCTATGCTTCTTAGGTTGTCAAGAGATTTATTTGTAATTGATTCATTAATATTAAGGGATGTGTTATGTTTCTAACATCCCCCTGGAATTTGTAAAGGTTTTGGAATTCTTAAAATTGTTCTCTTCAGAAGCTGTTCTTGTTTTGTTGTGCCACAAAATGTCAGAAACAGACAAATACCTAAAGACATTTCAAAAATGTTGTGGCTTGTGTCACCACCCCTTTCATTAAATGTATATTTCCTTATCATTTTTATTTCATCAAAATATTAAGTGTCCCATGGAGTATGGATGATTTGCTGTGTTTAGTCCTGCTCCGCTAAAAATGACCTTGAGCTAACGAGATTGCCGTAGTTTATTTACTAGGTCAATCCAACCCTTTTGAACAACTGCATATGTTATAACAAAAATGTTTTTAACATTTTGATACTTTAAAACTAGTGATAGTTTATATATTATATATATATTTATTATTGACTTCAAATGGGTTTATACCCGGTGGCAGTGACCTACAATAAGATACAAAACAATGAGACACAACAGAACAATGAGATACATCAACAGAATGAGACAGAACAAAACAATAAACAAAAGGACACAACAAAAACAATAAGATACAACAAACAATGAGATACATCAACACAGAGTCAGAACAAAACAATTAAAAAAACATTATTATTGTTGTTTATATTTTGTGCCATAAATAGAACTCAGAAGGCAAGTTGCAGTACCACATATGATATCTTCTTTTCCCAGTACCTGATGCTCCGGAGAAGGTGAAAGCAGTATCCAGTTCCGAAAACGCAGCTTACATAGGATGGCTTCCACCTCGTCACCCAAATGGCATGATCACGAAATATACGGTGTACTTGCGTGTTCTGGAACAAGGCAAAGAACTCAAGATTGTAAAGACTACTGTTGCAGCACATCAATTGCACTATGAAGTGTCTGGGTTACTTACCAGCAAAATGTATGAAGCGTGGGTAACAGCAACTACTCGTGTCGGACAAGGAGCTGGCACGCCCGTCGTTCATCTCTCTCCTGCGACTTCTGCTGGTGGTTTGTTCCATTCTAATCATCATTTAAATTTTTCTTTACTTGAAGTAGAATTTTCATTTATGGTTTTGTAGGCTTTATATTTTGTCATTTTCTAAATGTTATACAAATTTAAAGATTAAAATTGTGACAGGAAATGTTTTCTCTTAAGTTGGGGGCATGTCATGCATGTACTCGTGCATTAAAAATTCTAATGTGGTGATAGTAAAAACTCATAAAAGTGTCTCATAGTAAACTTTTAAGAAAAACAAATCTTACGAAGCAATACATTGAATTGGTAAATTCCAGATTGTGTGTTAAAAATCTTTATGTTCAATATATTATTTTTGTTTATTATTCTGTTTCCTTTTTGATAGTGCCGGCATCAGTTGTGTCATTTGGTCAGCTCGTGACTGTACCGTGGAAAGTCACTGTGAAATTAGCTTGTCTCTGTGTGGGCGTGCCTCGACCGAAGGCGCAGTGGAGACTAGGAGATTTGACCTTACACCATCAACCAAAGTGAGTTGCTACAGTATGTAAATTTATGGGAATTAATTCTGAATTTGGTCTCTCTTGGTCATAGGACTTTCATTTTGCACTGAAAACGAATATTAATTAATGATATAACAAATTTAATATTTTTACCATTTAACTATTTTAAACAAAATGAATTAATAGAAACTTGTTTTAACATAATTT